TTTATTACGATCAACAAATCCAATAAATCCAATAGAAAACTCAAACATGAAATTTAAAACAAGAGCAAAGGAATAAATAGCTCCTTATTCGTATTCCAGCTTATGTGTAGCAATGTTTAATTCTTTCAGCTAAGGAAACACAGTAATGGTGCTGTACAAAATGGATATAATATGGTGTTTGCTTAAAGAGGGGGGAAGAAAGCCTAGGATTGTGTTTGATATTGTCTGTAGCAACGTGTGATAAATCATGAGGACAAGTCAGGGTGCATGCTGTTCATGCAATTGTATTATTATCATAGCATATTAGGAGCAAAACAAAACATCAGCAGCATTTATATGTAAACAAACAAGGGGTAAAGCTTTGGAGGGGAAGGCAAAATGACTGGGATGTGAAGTTGGCTGAAGACTGGCTTTCCAGATTCTCTTCTGGTACCTCTCCTTTTGACCTGCAGAACTGGAGATTGTATTTTGACTTTTTAGTCTGACAGATAAGATTTTAAATCAGTCACCTCCCACTCCACAAACTGGGCAATGCCTCTTTGCCATTGCACTCTGCTGGGTGGTAAGCATTCTTGCAAAAATTAGAATTAAGCAATACCTAAGAGGTTTCTTTCTTTCTAAAACAGATTGGGAAGAAAAGCACACATCCTTCAAACAGCATCCAGATATCAGATGACCTTGGTTTTTGTGAAGACTGAAAGAATAATGCTGAGGAGGATGAGAAAGCTTAACACTGGAATTCTCCTTTCTTCATCTTATTTTATTCATGTATATCCCAATTCCCTCCTCCAACCATATCCAGGCTTAAAGCAGCTTACAGAATATTAAAAGCAGAGTGAATTATTCTCTTCCACAAGCATAGATACCACTTTTCAGTAAGAACAAATAGAAAAGTCCTCTCTCTTGTTTCTTTCCAATTCCCAGATAATTCAAGCCACGTGTGCTGGCAGTGGAATTTGGAGCCACACAAAAAGACAAACAGGAGGAAGGCAGAGAAACCACATTTGCTGAGCTTGCCATTGGAAATGGCCTTGTCTACTGAAGGAAGGAGCTGGTGAGTTGAAAGTGCCCTCCATCTGCTCACAAACCTGGTTCAGAGAAGCCAAGGAGGAAAGTAGGTCAGCAATGGAGAGAGTCAGGGAGTGATTCAGAAAATAGACAGTGTTGGGAAATAAGAGATTAAAAGGACAATTGTTGTCAAGCAGTAGACTGAGGGAATGGTGTAATTTGGAAATGAGTGGAGCCAAAAACAGCAGTGTGGCAGAGCCATGGGAATCAAAGGGCCTGGATTCATACATGCTGTATACTGTATAGTCATGGATGGTGACACGACCTATTAAGCTTTTCATTCTTCCCTGATCCCTCTGAGTTTACCTGCAATTGCTCAGTGGGAGAATGACTTTTCTTTTTCTAGAAGCCCTCTATTGTTGTGAGAGCAGGGGTGGGCGAGCATTTCATCTGCCTTTGTTTCCCAAGAATTTATCCAAAGTCACATTTGCCTTCCTAGCTGGAATGACAGAATGTGAGATTTTAAAAATCTGAATATGGGAAAACCCAAATTGACTGCTTTTGATGTTTAACTCTTCAAGGCCTGGGTTTTAATTAAGGTTGCCACAGTGAAAAATGGAGACGACTCCTGTACTTAATGGTTGTTTATTCTTGTAGTTGTGTGCGATCAAGTTGTTTCTGATTTATAGTGACAATATATTATGGGGTTTTCTTGGCAAGATTTGTTCAGAAGGGGTTTGCCATTGCCATCCTCTGAGCTGAGAGAATATGACATTCCCAGGGTCACCCAGTTGATTTCATGGCCAAGCAGGGTTTTGAACCCTGTTCTCTAGAGTCATAGTCCAACATTCAAACCATTATAGAGGAAATTTCAACAGGTGTTGCTTGTCATGCAACCAGGTAACAAGCAACACCAGCTCAAATTCTCTCTTCTAAACTTTAAAGGGAGAGAACCTGTCTCCAGTTTTCATTCTGGAAGCCCTAGTTTAAATCCTTGTGTATTCAAGCATGTTATTGCTGAATAAGAGTTACCACCCCATTTTTTCCCCCTGTGAGGCTCCTCATCTTTAACACCTATGCAACAAGCAGATACAGCATGGTCCTTTCTGCACTAAGAGCTACACTTGTTAAATTTGGTTGGTGTTAAGGGGGGAAGTTCATTTTTCCAAAATTCATAAATTACACACTCAAGGAGGAAAGAACTGGAGGCTTGAGCAATTGAAATGCAGCAGAAAGTGAAAATGGAAAACTTTCCATCGTGAGGATATCATTATTTTTGTTTGTTGTTAACTGCCCTCGAGTTGATC